GGCTTTAAACCCTGATTAGACCCATGATAAGCAGCTTTTGCAATACTTATTGCATGTCGCCTCTGACCTGTACCTACTACATCCCCCAAGCATGCTTAGGGTGTCCCTTTTCACTGACAGGGAAAACCGTCAAAGAGCAATCAAAAGCTCAAGTCCTCAGCTGCAAAACATTGATGTTGGGGCAGTTGTGTTACTAGCAGTCAGATGGTATCAGTGCCCCCTCCTTTTCCCCTGTTCCCTCCCCCTCATTATTCCTAAGCAGCCTGATTACATTTATTATTTCTATTTCTTCCCCCCTCAAATGTCTTAAATTGCAGTTGCAGAGCTCCAAAATTGCATGAAAAGGTGCAAATAATAATAATAATAATAAAAGTAAAATATCCCAAAGGCATGCTGGCTAGTGCATAGGGCAAGGAGGTAGGGTTAAAGGGGAGTCAATAAGAGATTGAGATGATGGGAGTCATTGCAGTCATGGGATTAAGAAGCTATTGTAATGGTCATTACACAGACAAGTATAATTCCAGACAAGCATGATAGCAGCCCAAGTGATCTTCACACCACCATCTCAGAAATTTTAGTGGAAATCCTTTTGAGAGCCAGCATGGTGTAATGGTCTGAGTGTTGAATTACAACTCTAGAGACTAAGATTTGATTCCCAGCTTGGCCATGAAACCCACTGGGTGACCTTGGGCAAGTCACACTCTCTCAGTCTCAGGTGAAAGCAATGGAAAACTTCCTCTGAACAAATCTTGCCAAGAAAAAACCATGATAGCTTCACCTTAGGGTGGCCATAATTTGTAAACAATTTGAAGGCACACAACACACCTTTTGAGGACCATGATTCAGGGACATATGCAAAAAATTATAGTATTTAATTCAAGAGATACTCTCTAGAATCACACTGTCATACAGATGAATGGTTCTTTTAGATAAACTGCTCTAACTCCCTTCGGGTAAATCTATGCTGTAGAAATAATACATGGTGTGACATAGCTTTAAGTGTTGTAGCACTATCATATGAAATCCTGGGATTTTTAGTTTTTCAAGATCATTAGCCTTCCCTGACAAAGAATGATGGTAAACTACAAATCCAAGGGTTCTGTAGGATGGAGCCATGGCAGTTATAATCTACATTATTTCTATGCTACAGATGCACTTCTTGAAGAAAGTCCACAGCCACAGTTTCCATAACAGATTGTTGTCCAGCCTCTTGCTGAAGTTTTCCAGAGAGAAAGAAATAAGCATGAGCATTATAGCCATTGTGTGTCTGTCAATAACCATAATAAACCTTGTTCAAGTTCAAATTTCAAAGTTCTCTTCCACTGTGAAGTTGGAGTCATTACATTGCTTTAGCCAGTTTGCCAACTCTTCCTCTACCCCAAACTGTAATACAGGGATAATAATGTGGACAGGGGTGTCATAAGGATTGATGAAATCATATGAGTGAGTGTTACAAAGTTATACACATATGTTGGGCACTAATTATTTTTTATTATTTCCTTAATGAGAAGATAGTGGGATTTTGTTCCACTGTATTAAATATGACCCAAATTTCCATTAAATATATGATTACAGCCATGGAACGTATGGGTTGCTTACAGTATGCTAATACATGTATCTCTATAAGCCTTTTAGTGATCTAATGTCTTGGAGAGAGGTCCTTCTCTCTGTCCCACTACCTTCTCAAGCTCATTTTGTGGGAACAAGGAAGAAGGCTTTCCTGATGGCTGCTCCCAGATTTTGGCACTGCCTCTTTAAGAGGCTACATTGGCTTTCTCCTAGCTTACCTTTTGCCAACAAGCAAAAACATTTCTATTTCATCAGGTTTTAGAAACTGACTGTGATAAGCCTTTAATGCTGTGCTGTTTTGTTGGTTATTAAATATAGTCTTTTTAATTAATTTTTAATGGTTTTAACACTGCACATTGTTCAATTTTTAAAAAAATAACCGCTGGAATCCTGTTAGGCAGTTACTATATGTAATTGAGAGTTACACATTCATGACTGTTTCACATTCATGATTCCTATGTGGCCCCCAAATTAGACCATGAAAGTTCCCCGTTCTGCACTTATTGGGAAGCAGTTGCTGTGATCAATTGGGATCTGTTCCCCTTTTGATCAGAAAGCAGCTGATCCCAACCTTTCTCATATGAATAATCTCTGGTGTAATGTGCTCTACATGGGGCTATCCTTGTGCTTGGTTCGGAAACTACAGCTGGTGCAAAATATGGCAGCAAGACTAGTATCAGGAACATCCAGGAGGGACCACATTACTCCAGTACTAAGGTCCCTCCACTGGCTGCCTATCAGCTTCCCGGCTCAGTACAACGTGTTGATTATCACCTTTAAAGCCCTAAATGGCTTGGGTCCAAACAATCTTAGGGACCACCTTCTCCCTTATAATCCTCCCCACGCTCTCATCCTCTGGGAGGAATTTGCTGCAGCCTCAAAAATCTAGGCTTTCAGCTACCTCCCAGAGGGATTTTTCCGTTGTCGCCCCTAAATTGTGGAACGGCTTGCCGGATGAGATCCGCCAATTAACATCTTTAAAAAAGCTGTCAAGACGGATCTCTTCCAGCAAGCTTTCCCAGGATAGAATATCCCGGCCTCTGTCCCCTCCTTTCTTTAGGGGAACCCTATCTGTCTCCCCGAAAACTAAGAATTACATTACCACAGTTCTCTGTTGCTTTATTGCACACCAGTGGTTGTTGTTTTAACTTTGTTTATTTTAACTTGTAATTGATTTAATAACTTTTTTAAGGGGTGGGTGGGAAGTAATTTGTTTTTATTGTTGCACTGAACTTTTTACTGTAAGCTGCCCCAATTGATCTCAAAGAGGTGGGGTATAAATTATTATTATTATTATTATTATTATTATTATTATTATGGTGTGAGGAGGAATTGTGACGGGTGACTGCTTCTGCCTGGTGCAATGGACATTGCTCATGGGAGAGGCATGGGAGTGGAACATTTTAAGATCAGCAGAAAAAATAGGATGACTATTAATCAAGTCAAGATTGTCTCTGCCAAATTGGGACAGTTAATCAAGATTGTCTTTGCCAAATTGGGACAGTTGGAGGCAGTTTATGACAGAGCTTTATCACACCAGCTCTGCCCCCATTGCACTCCCTTCCCATACTGTCCCTTAACTCTGTCCTCTCTCCCCAGCATGCCTTTATTTTTTAAAAATGTTTCTCATGAAACTGATTTAATGTTTTAATTTTTTAAAAAACAACCATCTAGGCTGCAGAGTTCCAGAATTCTGTTAAAACCTGAGGATTTTTTTCAAAATAGCAAGGGGAAAGGGAAGAAGGGGGGAGGAGGGGACAGTGACACCATGTGACTTTCAATCATGCAGATGCCCTGGGAATGGCTTTTTGCACCGAAGCATTGCATTATTGGTAGCTCATTCACAGGTTTCCCCTGTGAATGAAAAGGGACAGGGCAGCTACAGGATGGAAGTGGCATCGTGTGATCGAAGTCATCGATGCTGCTTCCCTCCCAAGGAAATTGCAGTTTAAAAGCCATATGTGATAAATCCCTTAGATTAAAACAGAATGCAGTTAAAATCAATCATAATAGTTAAACAATGCAAAAACCAAAGTATCATATTAAAATAGCACTAAATCAAAAGGAATTTAAAAGAATTTAAACAGACTCCATTGACTCTCAGCCAATTTGCAGAGTAAGGGTGGCAAAAAAAAAGGACCTTCTCTCTGTCTAAAGGCCTAAGCAGACTGCCAGAAATAGTGCACATTAAATTGAGGCACTGCCCTGGCTCAGTGCTAGGGAATCATGGGAATTGTATTTTTTTCTGGGACATTGAGCCTTCTCTGTCAGATAGCTCTGGTGCCACAATAAATTACAGTTCCCATGATTCCCTAGCACTGAGCCAGGGCAGTGCCTCAATTTAATGTGCACTATTTCTGGCAGTCTGCTTAGGCCCTAAGTGAGAGGTTTGTAGCACTGAGGTAGCTAGAACAATTCCAACCAATGTAGCTCCCCCAGCATAGCAACTGCTGTGGGTACACTGCTGGCTTGACACCAACTTCTAGGTCTACACATATTTTGCACTACAACTCCTGCCGATGGGGCTGATAGAGGGCCATAGCTTTCCCACCTGTGCCTCTAGCATATACCGATACTAAGGAGATTGTCGCATTCTCTTTTAAAGTGCCTTACCCTTGCCAGGATAAAAGTGCATTTAAATTTAAAATGAGTTTTATCACATTTGACCATAGCTGGGCGAATCCATCCCATATAAACCCCGAATGCCAGCTGGGCTTATCCTGAAGCTTTTTGAAAATGGTGGGCATCCGGTCATGAAAAGCCACTGGATAAGCCCGACTGACATCTGGAATGTATGTGTATCCTTCTGGGGGTAAGGTGCTTTAAAAGAGAATGCAATACTCTTCTAAATTACACTGAGTACAAATGTGATTCAAATAAACATGTGGATGCACTGGCTTTAAATGCTCAGGTGTACTCTAATTTTTACTATTTATTGATTTAATTTTGATCTTTTCTTTCCTCTAAGGAAGTCAAGAATTTCAACACCCTCCTTCCATTTTATGGTCACAATAAACTTACCTCCTGATAAATTATGTTGAGAGAGAGTGACAGGTTCAAGGTCACCCAGGGAGCTTCATTGGGGAGTAGGGACTTGAATCTGGGCCCTTTATGGTCTAGTCTATCACCATGACCCATTTGCTGCTCAAGAAAAGCCAGCATTTCTAGTTCCTCTGAGAAGAAATTAAATAAATATCCTTGTCTGCAAATCAAGAAAGAGTAACAAGGAACGGTTGAGAATCTCTGGACAACTAGGAATATTCTGATCTAACATAATCTTAGGTGTACTCCTAGAATCTGCTCTTCTCTGACCCCACAGAACTGGGAATATTTTAAAAGAATATTGGCAGCTTTGGTAGTTTTGTAGAAGAGAGAATTTATGTGGGACAGATTTAGATTTTATCTCTCATTGCAGGATGATGCAGTGGGGAGCACATGTGGTGTAGTGGTTTGAGTGTTGGACTAAGACTCTGAGACCAGGGTTTGATTCCCAGCTTGGCAATGAAACCCATTTGGTGACCTTGGGCAGGTCACATGCTCTCTGCCTCAGAGGAAGGCAATGACAAATTTCCTCTGAATAAATCTTGCCAAGCAAACCCTATGGTAGATTCACTTTAGGGTCACTATAAGTAAAAAAGAAAGAATGAAAAATACCTGAAGGCACACAACAACAACAAAACATGAGCAGCAGCAGCAACAACAAGAAGATTGATGAGTTGCACCCACTGACCTATTAAAGCACAGGGTCTGCTTTATGCTCTGTGGCAATGCTGTGTTAAGTTTGGCTGGCTATTCTACCTTGAAAGCTCCATATTCTGTCCCTAAATAAAATGAATAACCCAATAGGTATACATCAAAATTGAAAATTGTGTGGCCCTGCAGATGTTCTTGAATTGCAACATTCCTCACTATTGGCTATTGTTATCTTTTGCTTGCATCAAGCACACTACAACCATGCTGGCTGAGAGTGATGGGAACTGAAGTCCAACAACATCTGGAAAGCCACAGGTTTCCCTCCCTTATTTACTATTTCTCCACTGATTACTTGGCAGACATTAACTAGAAACAGAAAAATTCTGTAAATAAGTAGGGCATATAATATGATTTTATAAATAGGATACATACATCAGGTGGGGAGGGACATTATCTGTACCATGAATCATGTACCAAATCCAGCAAGTATACCAAAGGAGAATAAATAAGGTCACATTCCCATAGCTAGAGATGAGATCAATATAAACTAAGAACACACAGGTAGGATATTCAACATACACTTGGTTATTTTAGTTTTTTTTTTAAAAAACAAAACAAAACATTGTTATAGGCATTTGTGGAATTCACATAGGTTTGTCGTTCCTCTCCAGATATTTTTCTCAGCATGGGATATAAAAAGGCTAAAGCAAACATTAAACAATGGGTAATAGACACAGAGTGACAACTAGACCTAGCTAGCACCCCAACTTTTATTGTCAGTGATTCCAAATAATTTTTGGCATTACCTATGCCACATTTACCAAAATTGGCATGATACCATGCCCTCCCCTCAGCTGTTCTTGAAAGCCAATATAAGAAGATCCTCTTCTCAAACAGACTATGACCCTGTAACTCTGGCCAAATAGAAACAACCAAGCACATATTACTCCAATGCTCATACTATGGGGCATCTGTCTCAGCCTTCTCTCTCCTCTATTGTATAAACACCAAGGACACACCTGTCAATTCTACACTTCCTTACTGCTTTTGGACACCAATCTGGATAAAACATATAGTGTTGCCAGATTCTGTGCAGCTGCAGTTGAAATCCATCA